AAACTACACTATACATATAAGAACTCACAGTGGTGAGAGGCCTTATGAATGTAAGGAATGTGGCAAAGCCTATAGTCACTCCTCACACCTCAGTGCACATATGAGAACTCACTGTGGAGAAAGACCTTACAAATGTATGGAATGTGGCAACGCCCTTTGTTACTCTTCAGACCACACTAAACATATGGGAACTCACAGTGGTGAGAGGCCTTATGAATGTAAGCAATGTGGCAAAGCCTTTCGTTGGTCCTCGCACTTCACTGCACATATAAGAATTCACAGTGGTGAGTGACCTTATGAATGTAAGGAATGCAGCAAAGCCTTTCGTCAGTTCTTACAGCTCACTAGACATCTAAGAATTCACAGTGGAGAGAGGCCTTAGGTAAGGAATGTGGGAAAGCCTTTAGTTATTATCTCTCACTGAATACATAAGAAGTCACCCTGGAGAGAAATATGTTAAATATATGGAATGTGGGAAATTTTGTTGTGATTCTTCAAACCTCAGTAATCATATAAAAATTCATGGCTTAGAGATGCTTTATAAATGTAAGCAGTTTGTCCATGTAAATGAATTATGATGAAGAAACAACCAATGGTTAATTGCAGCCATTCACTTCACCCTTTAAGTTCCTACAAATAAAGGTCAGTTTCCTAGCAGAATAGCCCAGATCTTCATTGTCCCTCAAAACAAATGAAAATTTCTCCGGTTGTCCATAAATTATCTGACTGTTAGGTTTTTTGAAGTTAGGATCCAAACCATATTTCCACATTACTTTTTTGTTTCTAGATTTGCTTAATCTGTCCTACACAGAACATTCTTCTGCTTTTCTTGTAAATGTTAAAATGTTCAGCATTCTGAATACAGTCAAACCTGTGACAGCTAGCACCCGTGTTAAGTCAGAAACCAGTCAGAGAAGAAAAACTCAGTGGGTGTTTATGATGTAGGATTCTTAATAGAGAGCAAAAGGAAAATGATAAGCACCCAGTAAAAGGTGGAAAATACGCAAGACCTGGTAAAACAAGTCACTCCCATTGCATTCCGGCTCTCACAGGTTTTACTGTATTTGTGTTATGATTTTGTTTAGTCTTATGTATTTTTTGTAATACAGACATTGAGTCTTGCACAGTTCTAATAGAAATGTAATGCACGTAAAAGATGTAATTTAAAATATTTTAGCCATATTAGACACATAAAAATGTAAATGTGAAATTTTTAATGAAAAATCTTATTTAACCCAATATGTCTATTTATTATCAAGGTAAAAATTACAAATGAAATTAAGCAATATGAATTTATTTATATTTTATATTTCCTTTTTTTGTACTCCATCTTCTAGAATTCAGAAGCAGCACGTTTCATAAACATTATTGTTGAAAAGTAGACTCACAATTCCAGGTTACTCCAAGCATACTTTTCCAATAATTGAATCAAGTTTATTGTTATATTTAAATTAATAAAAAATAGAATTTATTCAGTTTCTTAGTTTTACCAACCAGATAGATTGTTGATACAACCTTATTAGTGTTTTAATGCAAAAGAAGTCCCTGGATTACTTTGTACTTCCTGTTCCAGATCTGGAATCAACATTTTCTCCCCAAACCTCTGGTTCCTTTTAAAAACCAAGGTGTGTGAAATACATGGGCTCGGTGTTAAACCAAAACCTGTTACCACTGAGTCAGTTTTGTCTCTGCCTTTCAGTGAGCATAAAAAATACATTATTTCTTACATCGTAAATTCATGCTTATTCCTAATAACAAATTTAAGGTTATGTAAGTATATAAATAAATATGTAAGTGTATAAATTATATACGTATACATGTAAGAAATGGTGCCGGACAATGTTAAATATGCAAAAGTGTGCTGGACAGTGTTAAATAGGGAAACTAGACTTTATTCAGCCTGTTGCAATAGGAAAGAGTCTTCAGGATAAGTCTGAATTCAGCTCCAAAGGGTAAGGTGTGGTAAGAGTTTTTTTATGAGTTCTGGGTATTATGGGGCACTGGAAACTTACTAGTTTGAACTTAGCAAGCAAAAACATGGCAGGAAGATGGGTTTCAAGCAAGAATTATAATGGTTTTCAGAAATGTTTGCTCACGGCTGATTTATTAGGCTAAAGCAAGGAAGAGTCACGGGATAAAAGTGGGCAAATGTCACTTTCTGTTATTTTATATTTGCATCTCTTAATAAAAACCTTGGTTTCTAATAATATGCAAATAGTTTCTGTGTCATAATAATAGAACTGACTGAAAGCTTACTTTCTCAATTACTGAGTTTTTACCTTTGTTTTTGTACGTACTGGTTATACATTTACATTAATGATATTAACAAGGTTATCGTGCTTAAAAATTGGCTTGAGCACAAAACTGACCTGTGCATTGTTATGTGATCAGTTTGATACTGTCTCCTGCCATCGAGTTGGCTCCAGCTCATGGTGACCTTATTTATGTTGTTGTGTGCCATGGAGTCGATTTGAATTCTTAGCAACTCCATGTGACAGAGTAGAATTGCCCCATAGGGTTTTCTTGGCTGTAATCTTTACAGAAAGAGGTTGCCAGCTCTTTCTCCCATGGAGCTGCTGCGTGAGTTTGAACTGTGAATGAATTGGTTAGTAGCCAGGTGCTAAACCATTGCACCTCCAGGGATCCTTGACCTCCTACATAACAGGACAAAATGTTGCTTAGTTCTGCACCATCGTCATGATCATTGCTATGTTTGAGTAGTGCCAACCCAGAGGGCTCATCTTTTCACACTGTATCAGATAGTGTTCTGTTGTGATCCATAAGGTTTTCATTGATTTTCTCAAGTATATTGCCAGGTCTTTCTTCCTTTGCTGTTGAAGTCTGTAAGCTCCACTAATGCTTGTCCACCATGGGTGACCCTCCTGGTATTTGAAATACTGGTGGTATAGCTTCCTGTATCAGCAACATGCTAGCCATCACAGTATGTCAAACTCACAGATGGGCAGTGGCAGTTTGACATGTTATTACGTTTACTTATTTCTGTGTACATTTAATGTTAAGGTTTGCTTTCATTTGGAATTATTCCTTTAACATATAAAACTTTCATATGGTTCAAAACTGAAGACTGTATGAAAAGCTGAATCCAGAAGACTGACTTCCACCTATACTATGTTAATATCACCACCAGTTACTAACCATTTCCGTTGTTTCCTGTGTAACTTTCCAGTGTTTCTCAGAAATGTCCCTCCTCCAGAATACATACATACGTACATGAGTGTATGTTGGTTATTCATCATGTTTTCTTCACATAAATGTACTTCTTTCCACTTTATATATACTGGACATCAGTCTGTCTTTTGTTTCATAGTATACAGGAGATCAAAGCATAGGCATTGGCAATGGCTGTGGCCGTGTGTGGTGGAGCCCAGGAGGGCTTTTGGACAATTTCCTTCTGTCTTAGAATGTCCTTGGTCAATGTTGTTGTGTGCTGTCAAGTCCATTCCAACTCAGTGACCATATAGGATAGAGTAGAACTGCACCATAGGGTTTCCTAGGCTGTAATCTTTATGGGAAGTGATGTCCAGGCCTGTTCTCCTGTAGCATTAGGTGTTTTCTAACCACTGACGTTTCAGTTAGCAGCAGAGCGCTTAACCACTATGCCACTGGGGCTCCTTCCTTGGCCAATAACCATGTGTAAATATCCTGTTATTTCACCTAATAGTACCTTGTTAAGCAGCACTCATCAAGTGGTGAACAAAATAACCAAACTCTTCAAAGTCTTTGTTTCTTTTTACATGTAGATGGAAAATGTTCAGTTTTAAACATATGGTTCGGATGTTTAATGTCAACGGTATAATTTCTAGCCCTTTAAGACCCCTCTATTTACGGACAAGTATTTTATGGGGCCTAGTCTCTGAAGGAACACTGGTGGTGCAATGGTTAAAGCACTCAGCTGCTAACTGAACAGACGGCGGTTGGAACCCACCAGCTGCTGTGGGGTAGAATGATGTCACAGTCTGCCTCCGTAAAGATTTACAGCCTTGGAAACCCTATGGATCAGTTCTGCTCTGCCCTTATTGTTGCTATGACTCAGAATTGACTTAATGGCAGTGGGTTTGGTTTTTGTTTTGGTTTAGTCTCTTTGAGCCCCCACCCATCTGTCCCTTTGTTGTACTGTTGTGGCTTACATGTTGCTGTGATGTCGAATCTGTGTGACCGGTATTTCAGGTACCAGCAGGGTCACCCAGGTAGACAGGTTTCAGAGGGGGTTCCAGACTAAGAGACTAGGAAGAAATGCCTGGCAATCTACTTCTAACATTAGCCAATGATATCCTTATGGATCAGAATAGGATATTGCCTGACAGGAATGAAACATGCCAATGATCACGAAGATGGCACAGGACTGAGCAACTTTTCACTCTATTATACATAGGATCTCCATGAGGTGGAGCATAATGGGCAGCTAATTACAAAGTCTTTGTGAGAGGCACAGACAGAAGGGGTTGGGAATTCGCAGCCACAGACCTGCAGTTCTGTGTGACTCCACTAAATGGTGCTGATGATCCTCCTAACCCTTCTTAAATCTTTCTGTGTCTAAGCAAGTGTTTTTCTCATGGAGTGTCTGGAGAGGGCACAAAGAGGGAGACATTGAGATTTTTTAAATCTCTGTTTTGGGATGCGTAAATGTAGCAATGGAGCCCTGGTGGCACAGTGGTTAAGAGCTCAGCTGCTCAGCAAAAAGCAGTTTGAATCCACCAGCCACTTCTTGGAAACCCTGTCAGGCAGTTCTACTCTGTCCTGCAGGGTTGCTATGAGTCGTAATCATCAATAGCTTTTTGGTTTTTTTGAATGTACTAATAGTAGCAACCTCCAGGTAGTATCAAATTGGTCTCTTCTCTGCCACTAGAGTGAAGACTTTCAGTTTTAAACCCAGGGTTCTATTTGTGCAGATTTAGGAGTCAAACCCCACCTTGTTCTGATAAGACCCATTTCTTGGCGGGTGATTTAAAGCACTGCAGAGACCCTCATTTTTAAATAACCTGGATTAGATTGTTTACATTGGAGTCTGGATAAAAGGTTCCCTGACCTCTAGGGGTTGTCAGGTCTTTGCCCATGGAGAAAGGAGGGGACAAAGACCCCAGAGGTTTCCTAGTGCGTGAGATGTGAGTCCTGGACCCCTTTTCCCTCGCAGCTGCTCAGTCCCCTTTTTACCTAAGGACCTGTGTATTTACCCTGGCATAAACGTTATGGGGTCAAGTTCCTGACAACTCCTTAGCTGTGTGACCATGAGCAAGTTGCTGGACTTGCTTTGCCTCTATTTCCTCAGTCATCAAAATGAATAACGTCTTTCGCCTGGCACATGGATCACCCCAACTCTAAGAAACTGCTGCCTGGGGCCACCTCTCAGCCCTGCCCCCAGGTGATGCCCCTCCCCCACATGACATCTCTGCCCTCAGCCTGTAGGGCCAAATATTGGGACACTCAGGCCACTCAGGCCACTAGATGTTCACTTGCACTGGGTCCAGTGGAGCAGCCTGAGGAGGGCAGGGTGGTTATTGTCTGGGGCAGACATGGGCTCACACTGCTGTCACATTAGAGGGCCCCCTCCTCATCAGGGTGAGTGACCCTCCTGAAAATGCCATCCTACAATCACTGCTTATCTAGGACTGTAGTTTCTCCTGAAAGTAAGACTAGTTCCATATTGATGCCGTTTTTGTGAGGACTGCCTGGATTCCCATCTCTGGCCCACATCAGGTCTGCATGGAAGTCCTAGCGCCCCAACGTCTGAGCCACACCAGCCTCACAGCACACAAGCATCCACCTTCCTCTGTCTTCCAGCCTCCACGGTCCCGATGCTCTGTCCCAGGTTTCTGATGCACTCTCCTTTGGAAAAACTGTGGCCTCTCTGTGTCTGGAAGATGTAGGAATTACATCTTTGTCCCTTGACCCTTACCCAGGATGGTCAAGGTTTTTGTCTTTTTCCCTGAACCTGTCTGACATTTAATTTGCTGTTGTTTCAATTTTCAAATTCAGAGTGTATTTACTTAATTTGTTAAAAATCACTTCTGTTCTCTGGCATTCCTCTGCAGTACTTCTTTGGCTTAAACACCTGACAGAAAAAGACTTAGAACCCACTCCCACCCTGGTGGGCGGTGTCTCTCATGGCCTGTTTTCTGATGACCCAGGTCACGGAATAATGAGCCCAACACACGGCTCTTCCTTCATTGTCAGCATTGCATATATGGACTGACTTCTTAGGAAGACATAAGAATCTGGCTCCCGGAAACCAGCCCATCTCCCAACTTCTTTAATACAGTTACGTCACAAGTCTAGTGATTCCATCTCTGCACTTGAGGTGACACCTCTGACCGCCACTTTGGCCCCCATCTGCCCCCAGCCTTGGACAGATGAGTGTCCACTTTTGCAGTGTGCACTCCAGTGACCAGGAGGTGAGCAAGACTCACCTAAAGCACAGTATCTAAAAGGGCTCAAAAACATCAGTCATCAAGATAAATCTTATTGTAATATAGCATGCTAAAAAATCAGAAGTAATGCAAAAAGTCCAAGATGAACAAAGCAGCAATATTTTAAACAAGGAGAGGTCAGTGCTTGAGTTTTCCCTTTGCCTCGTGTCCCCCAAGTCCCTGGACTCACCTGGGGACATTTGCATCCTGCTGTGTAACTTCAGATTCAGGAAGATCTTCCAAGTTGGTGGCAGAGATACCACCTCCAGGAGTGAAGCAGTGGCCTTGGGCACTCTCTGTGGTGTGCAAGCCAAAGGGACTATTCAAGTCCAGCCACACTGTCCTCAGGCGTGTGCAAACATTGTGAAGAACTTCAAGACAATGACTTCCGTGTGTGATGCCAAGTGCAGCCTGAGGCCAGACTGGACTCCTTTTACGTCCTTATAGGGGCTCAACATCGTGCCAGGCTCAGCTTGACTCATGTGGTCTGTGGGTGTAAGGCTGTGAGGCCAAGTCATCTTTACGATCAGAGAGCTCGGGTCCCCATCTCACCCCCACCACATGCGAGTGGTGTGAGTCTGTCAAACTCCTCAGCCTCAGTTTCTCTGTAAAATAGACGTCCTCATACCTACTGTTGGGAGAATTAAAGTGTAAACCATTCAGAACTGTGCCCTGCAGATCTAGGCACTTTGACTCATAGTGACA